CGTCTTTTACCCCTGGGTGGAGAGCGGCTTTTACCCCTGGGTGGAGAGCGGCTTTTACCCCTGGGTGGAGAACGTCTTTTACCCCTGGGTGGAGAGCGTCTTTTACCCCTGGGTGGAGAGCGGCTTTTACCCCTGGGTGGAGAGCGGCGCCGTGAGAGTTAAGCGTCTTGTCCAAGAACACAACACATTGACACCACCACGCCTCGAACCCAGACCTCTAGAGTCCAGAGCGTTGACCGTTGAACATTCGCGTCTCCCTCACAAACAGAGACATTGGAATAAAATTATAGCACAGCTGTAACAAATTAATATTTTGAGGTAACAAACCTGTGTAAAGTTACAACACATTCCCGAGACTGAGGCTTCGTTGTGTCTACGCCGACTGAGAGCGCAAATCTGCGGGCGAGTTCCTGCAGAAGGGATACACGAAATTATTTAGTAAATGAATATGGAACCGCGTAACAAAAAAACGCATGAATCAAACCATTACGTTAACCGTTTGACCCTTGCAGTGACTAGCATCTAAGTTCTCCTTACAATATCACCCCTGAATTATACATAAAGATCATGAGAATAAAGAAAATGATCACCAACTAAAGCAGCTCTTCACTGTTACACAAATTCTCCTTGTCAAGACGTATACGCAGAATTGTAAACAGAACAGTAATGATGTTATGGTGAAAAGGATTAAACCACATACACCCTTTAACTTAAAGATTTGGCTCGAACGTCGCATATTTAGATGCTGGTATAAATTCTTCTATACAGGGCTCGACACTAAACGGTAGCCCACTAGCCACAAACCAGTAGAAATTCAGTTTTGGCAAGTGGTTTTCAATTTCCACTGGCCAGTTTAGCTAGTAAACAGACCGAAATTGTCGTAACATCTAAAAAGCATCTAAGATGTCACTAGCCACTTGGCTAGTAAGCTGAAAAGTTAGTGTCGAGCAATGTCTATAATTTACGTTTTGGTGACTACTATTTTCAACCTTCATAGCGTTAAATGTCTACAGAATATTCTATGGACTGTGGTGAAAATAAAGTAGTTCTGAAATTTCTGCCAAGCTTTTTAAATATTACCTTGACTCCAGAAAATTCCTTTGAGTTCGTCTCTGCAGTTCCGTCGTTGTCGTCTTTAAATTTTTCAAACTCTTGTTGAAGACTCAGAAGCAAGGCTTTGGCAAAGGCTGAATTACTGATATCTCGGCATTTTGTCATAGTATGACGTATGATATCACCATAGTTACTGTACGCCTGTGCACGAGAGATAACATTCAGTGGGTTTGTTTGAAGCTGTAGGTAATGACACAACCTTCCGAATATCCGGTCCCGCGCTGTGCTGTTTATTTTTTACAGATAATTTTTAATTTTAGCAGTGATATAGTGCTGTGCGCCTTTTGAGAGAGAAAAAAAGGCTACATTAGGACACTAAGAGCTTGCTTAACTCTTTGTGAGTAGGGTAAAGTTCAGTGAGCGATGATGTTGTTCAGTGAATTAAAAAGGGATAATCGGTAAAACTGCGCTCCCAATTACAATGAATATATGAAGTTCATATATTATGAACTGTGGTTATAGATACGTATGATGCACGATCCTCGCAGTAGAGAGCGCTATTTATGCAATAGCGAAAATCAGACCTAAAAAAAAAAA